GCTGTAAAATCTCTGTCAACAGTGATGCAGCAGCAAAAGTCCCACTGATAATACCAAATGGAGTCATAAAGTTTTCTGTTGGACTATCAGTGTACATGTATACATTAAAAAATAAATGTATTTTTCATCATCATATACTGTGTTTTTGTCACTTGAATGAATTCTATTATTTCTTCAAGGTTCTTCACATATGTACACCTTAAGAGATATCAAGTAGGCATAACATGTTCTCAAAAAATTAGGGTTGGCACGCAGAAGAATTTTGAGTCAGAGATTTTGCTGGTTTTGGCATCCACTCACAAAAGGTTGCCCACCCCTGTCCTAGAGTATCAGATACCTAAGTGAATTGTGAATTTATGAATTTTAGAGTTACAACCTTCTTAGAGCGCTTACCTATATCAAGGGCATAAAGGTTAGTTCTATTGGGCATTTGTAAAGTGTTTTGATTTTTTTTAAATGAGAGATTATAAAAAAAAAAAACATCAACACCTCCCACTTTATCTCAAGTCAAGAGTGAGTCCTAAAGTGGACAAGCACTGTGAACTCATTTAAGGACAAGAAGGAAAGCCAAACTTCTACAGAGAAACAGGGGAAGGACGAGACCCACTGAATAGATGTAAGTGGACAGTGAAGGAGAAAAGATAAAGTTGTTTTTCTGAGTACATTCCACAAGTTTGTGCTTGTTCAGTGCACTGATTGAATGTGCACCTGCCCACTTCCCTTCATGCTTTGTTTAATGGTTTTAGAGTACTTCTTTCACAAGTTGTTTTCCGTGATGACTTTTGTTTTAATAGTGATTTTTAGTCTAGAATTTTATCAGAGGCTCCTAAAAACATTACATTTATTGTTCTGCTCTCATTAAGATATTTAATTTTGCTCTCAAAGAAGTTCACTACAGCCCAGCCAGCGTGGCTCAGGTTGAGCGTCAGCCTGTGAACCAGGAGGCCATGGTTGGCTTCCTGGTGAGGCTTTTCTGGTGGTGGTCTGAAATAACGGAACTCCGGAAATGTGCCCATTATTGCATCTTGATTATTTTTTTTAATAAAAGGAAGCAATGTTGTTCAATCCTCCAATTATTATTGAAGGCCTAGTATGCTAAGGCATTATTTAAGATAGTTGGAATATGTCAGTGACAAAACATCTAACAAAAAGTCCTTGTCCTCTGAAGCTAATGCCTCTCTCCTGAATGTCCTGTCACTGGAAAAGGGAATTTTGTAGTAGGAAATAATACAGAAGAAAAGTTGCCTTTCTCTTGGCTGCAGGCATTTGGGCAATGTACTGAAGAAAGCTCTCAGTGTGGGGGCAGGCGTAAGCAGGCCCTATAACCTGTTGGCACTAAAAGTGCTGATCCACAGAGAGAGAAAGACTTTGCCATAGAAGTAAACCTGGATACTGCTTCCTGCATCAAGGAAGTCTCACTACAAAAAACATCAGCTGAATGCAATAGTGTGCATAATGACATAGTTCATAAAAGCTCCTTATAGTACTACAATTGGGTAATAAATAGTACATAGACCAATTACAGTCTGTAAACCATGCTTTTGGTGACAATGACCTAAGGCTTAAAGGCAAACAAATTTTTTTTTTCTGTTAAGAGACAGATAGTAAAAATTTTAGGGCCATAAAATCTCTGTCAACTTTGTCAT